CAGCAGGTCCTGGTGGATCACCCACGTTAAACACAGTACAGTGCACCTGTCCATCCCAAACTCCCTAGCTATTCCTTCCCCCCTGGTGACCATAAGTTCATTCTGGGGAGGGCTGACTTCTGAGCCTCGGGGCATGTAAGGTCAGCTCCCGCAACTGGTCCCATTGACCCAACTTTCATCTCTGCACCGGGTGACCAGGCGCCTCGGGTGTCAGCCTGGGAGAGGAGGCGGGCTGGCTGCTCGGGGCAGGCTGCCATCTTGGGGGCACTCAGACCATCTCGTTCCAGCTGGTTCTTGGCCGGGGCAGGGAGGAGGGGCAGATCTTATCAGCATTCCAGCCCCTCTGGCCCCAGTCAATAGCCCCCTCCTGGGCCTAGCTCCCTAGTCCCTCCCGTTTCAGTGAGTCTGGTTCTTCTGGTGAGATTAACTGTTTGTCTGAGTCAGAGAGCCTGGAGGCCAGAGGATTAAAGAGATGGATGAGCATCCTCTCCCGCAGGGGTCTCAGGCTCCTGTCTGCCTCAGGATTCAAGTGGGAGCCGCCAAGAACAGCTGGCTGATTTGGGGGACGCTCCGAGCTCACTCGCTCCCGTCCTTCTGTGTTCCTAACTGCAAAGAGCACATCTTTCTGAGAGAACCAGAGCAGCTCTGGATTCACTGGGAGTCTTGATTTTGGCCTTTATCCTGGAAGGTCCTGGGTAGTCATTTTTATTCATAACAGGGCCATCTCTTGCGACCTGACCTGAACTGGTCCCTGTGAGGCCTTAGGTCCCTTTTGACAGGTCAAGGTCATCATTGATGAAGTCTTGCTGTTGTTCAGTTGCTCAGTTGTGTCCGACTCTTTGTGACCACAGTCACGCCAGGCCTCCCTGTCCATCACCAACTCCCGCAGTTTACCCAAACCCATGTCCATTGAGTTGGTGATGCCATCCAGCCATCTCATCCTCTGTCGTCCCCTTCTCCTCCCGCCTTCAGTCTTTCCCAGCATCAGAGTCTTTTCCAGTGACGTGGCTGGAAGTTAACCATTCTCATCCAAGCTTGCTGTCGGGTCATAATGACAGCCATCATGCCCCCTGTACATTCTTCTTCTTCTTTTAAATGGCTTTCTTATTATTTTTTGCTCATTCAGTTCCTGTAACTTTGTTTTTTACTCTCCATTATCTTTTTGTTATCTTTTTTCCTGGTAGACAGCAAAGGAGCTCAGCCATACATACACCTGCATCCCTTCTCTCCCAGACCCCCTCCCATCCAGGCTGCCTGAGCCGAGTCCCCCCGGGCCGTACCTTGTTGCCTACTTGAATAGCGCAGTGAGGTGAGGTGTGCTTGTCCGCCTTCTTTAACCTTTTGGCTGAGCCGCACAGCATGTGGGGTCTTGGTTCCCTGACGGGGGGTCAGACCCCTACCCCCAGCGTTGGCAGCTCGGGGCCCTAACCACTGGGCCACCAGGGAAGTCCTCCCGCACAGTCTTCGAGAGACAACGTGCCGGGGCAAGCAGACCCCAGGCAGTTCCTGCTCCGTGTCTTGTGAGATCAAGGAAGCCCCAGATGGATCCTCCTGGGTGCCCGGAGCACCGTGCTGCAGACGGCAGCCCTCCCAGAGGCTGGTGTTGATGACTTTCCACCTGGCATCTGACACGGGGGGATCCTCTTTGGGGAAGGCTGGTGGCAGGGCAGTTTTTAGATGCACTGTCTGCTGCCTGGTGGGGTCTCATACCCAGCTCAATCAAGAGTTGGGAGGATCTCAAAGCTATTTGTCAATCTATTTTTAATTTCACCAAAGAGCGGTGGTTTTAACATAAATCTTGGACACCCTAGTACCGTCCTACCTTTTTATGACGCTCAGCAGAGGACAAATGCCTCCATATAAAGAGCTGGAGGGATTTCCTCCTGGGCCAGTGCTGAAGACTCTGCACTCCCAGTGCAGGGTGTATGGGTTCCGTCCCTAATTGGGGAACTAAGATCCTGCATGCTGCCTGGCGTGGCCAGAAAGTATTTGGTAAAAAAAAACTAAAATGGGTTGGCGTTTTTCCTCTGGGAACGTAGTGGTTTAGTTCATGGACTTGGTTCAAAATCTGGTTTGACCTTGGCCAAGTCACGTCACATCCCTGTACCTCAGCGTCCTTATCTGTAAACAGAGATGAATAAAGGTATCTACTTTCGAGAGGGGTTCTGCCAATTAAAAGAGAGAAGGAAGACATAAAATAGGAAATGCTTCAAGGAATGCCTAGCACGTGGTAAGTGCGCAATATGCCGTCTTCATGAGAAAGAGCAACACACTCTCCTCTGTGCACTGCCTTTGGGGGAAGGCCGTCCACGGTCCCTAGGGCCTTCCTTATCTCCCCCTGTCCTTTCCCGCCTCTCCCCACTGCACCCTGAAGCTCTGACCTCGCTTGTTTTCCTTTCCGTGTCTTTGCATTTCATGTTTCTTCCTCCTGACCTGTCCTTCCTGTTTTTCTGCTTCCTTCTATTCCGGGTAAGTTCCCACTTGAAGGGCACCGCGTGGGGGCCTGGGAACATGTTTTAGTTATCCTGCCGAATCATTTTTATAAGTGGAGTCCCCCAAATTTACAAACATGAGAATTTCCCACTACATTTAGAATCTAGAATTAGGTTAAAAACAAACCAGATGTCAAGCTAGGGTGGCATCCAGACACTTGGAGCGCCAGAGGCCCCCTTTTGATGGAGTGGGGGAGCAGAATTTTGTTTTTCATTTTCTCACCTTTCTTTTTTTATTGACACATTTTATTTGGCATTGGGGTGTAGCCAATTAACGATGCCGTGAAACTTTCAGGCGCAGAGCCAACTGACCCAGTCACCCATGGACATGTGTCCATTCTCCCCCAAAGTCCTCTCCTACCCAGACTGCCACGTAACACTGGGCAGAGTTCCCTGGGCTGGACGGCAGGTCCTTGCCGGTTATCCAGTTTTAAAAATTGTTTATTTATTTATTTGTCTGCATCAGGCTTAGTTGCTGCACCTTGGGTGTGTCTCTAGTTGTGGCTTGCAGGCTCCAGAGTTGCAGGTTCAGTAGTTCTAGCACATGGGCTTAGGTGCCCCGTGGCCTGTGGGATCTCAGCTACCTGACCAGGGATGGAACCTAAGTCTCCTGCTTTGGAAGGTGGATTCTTAACCACTGGACCAGCCCTGGTTATCCGTTTAAGATATAGCAGCATGTACATGTTGATCTCCAACTCCCTAACTACCTCTTACCCCTACTCTTCCCCCTGGAAACCTTGGGTTCCTTCTCTGAGTCTATTTCTTTTCTGTAAATAAGTTAATTTGTGTGATGCAGTGTGCTTGCTCCAGTTTGCCACAGTCTCTACCTCTCCCTATTGTCTCAAACTGGTGGTTTTCCCCATGCACATTTGGCCTGGCCCTTGTGAGTATTTCAGTTTGGGGTTCCTGGTTGAAGGCCCCTGGAGCAGATTTTCGGATCAACTCTTGCTTGAGATGACGGATTCTAATTTTGTAAGCCTTGCGCTTTGAAGGTGGCCAAGACTCTTCTCATTTTGCTCCCTCTTACTCTTGACCAACATAGATGGCAATTTTGAATCCTATCTTGTGCATCGCTCCCTCCTTCCTGCCCAGAGGTCCTGGAGAGGCAAATGGACAGGGCAAGGTCAGTTTCTACGGGATGGTGCCTATGGCATCGACTGCCTCTTTTTCCGTCTCCTCCTTCAGTTTTAACTTCCTGATCCCCACAAGGTCTTATAGAAACTTCCTGGTCCACGCAGAGCAGGAAGAACTCAAGGACCGAAATGTATCTGTGTTCTCACTGCATAGTAATTCAAACAGCCACTCTTCCATATATGGACTCCCCTTTTCCTTCACATCCTAATTCATCCACTCACTTACTCATTCACTCAACCACCATTTGGTGACCACCTACTACATGCCAGGCATTGCTTGGTGCTCGGAGCAGAGGAAAAGCAAAACGACAAACCAAGAGAACATTTATCCTGTGACCTTGGGCAAGACCTTTACCTGGTTCAGCCTCAGTTTCCCCATAGACCTGATGGCTGGATTAGACATCCTTCAGCCTAGGGTTTCTCTCTGCGGTGACCGTGGCCCTGCATCCTCTGACACTTCCTGCGCTCTCTGGAAACTGCACTCGGCTAACAGCCGATGGATCCCACAGACATCTCTCTGTCACTGCAGTCGTAGAGCAAACACCCTCCCGGAGAGGCTCAGAGTTGAGGTGTTACAGAGGATGACGGGCAGGGGAGGGGAAGTCTGGTCTGGGCAGGGGCTGGGAGGGCAGGAGGGGAGCGGGGAAGAGGGACCTGAGGGGCTGGACTGGCTTGCCAGGTGGGCCTGCCAGATGCTCGGACCATCCTGCGAAATCTCACACCCTCCAGCCCCCTACCCTCCCAGCTCCAGCTCAGGCTGGCTTTCAATCTGCATAATTTGCCCCATTTAGAGGGGCTGGGAGGGGGTGAGAACGGGGGAGGGGGGGGTTTTGGAGCAGAGGCCTGATGAGAGGTTTTGCAAACACCCAGAGGAATCCAGAGAGAGAGGGAGAGAGAGACAGAGGCTGGGTCAGGCGCAGAGCAGGCTGCAAACCACAGATAACATCCTGCCCAGCACGGCAGGGGTCAATTTGGTCCACTTGCCCAGTGACAAGAAAAGAAAAAAAAAAAGTGGGCTGTAACTTCAGGATGCTAAGACTCAGAAGTGAGGGGCTGGTCTGGAGGTGGGAGGAGGGAGGAACAGCTAAGGAGGAGACAGTGGCTCAGGAGGGCGCGGGGAAGTGTCTGAGCAGAGGCTGGGGCCGCTGGAGGGAAGCCTGCAGGAGCAAGGCCTCCCTCTCCCGGGTCCTGGGAGCTGCTGCCGAGCCAGGCCTCCCCCTCCCGGGTCCTGGGAGCTGCTGCCGCCGCCGCGAGAAGCGCTGGACACCTCCGGCCCTGCCGGCTCGCCTCCCCGAGGCTGCCGGCCGGAGCTCAGGGTGCTTGGCTGAGCCCGGCACCCCGGGCGGGACCCCGGCTGACCTCCGCGCGCCGCAGCATGGAAGACGGCGGCGAGTACGACGGCTACTATGGGGCGGACAACCAGTCTGAGTGTGAGTACGCCGACTGGCCGCCCTCCGGCGCCCTCATCCCCGCCATCTACATGGCGGTCTTCGTCCTGGGCACGGCGGGCAACGGCCTGGTGCTCTGGACCGTCTTCCGCAGCGGCCGCGACCGGCGGCGGGCGGCCGACGTCTTCATCGCCAGCCTGGCGGTGGCCGACCTCACCTTCGTGGTGACCCTGCCGCTCTGGGCCACCTACACCTACCGGGACTACGACTGGCCCTTCGGGGCCTTCGCCTGCAAGGTCAGCAGCTATCTCATCTTCGTCAACATGTACGCCAGCGTCTTCTGCCTCACCGGCCTCAGCCTGGACCGCTACCTGGCCATCGTGAGGCCGGTGGCCAACGCGCGGCTGCGGCCGCGGGTCGGCGGCGCCCTGGCCACGGGCGGCCTGTGGGCGCTGGCCGGCCTGCTGGCCCTGCCCGTTCTGGTCTTCCGCGCCACGGGCGCCGTGCTGCAGGCGGAGAACGCCACCAGGGTGCAGTGCTACATGGACTACTCGCTGGTGGCCGGCCCCGACGCCGAGTGGGCCTGGGAGGTGGGCCTGGGCGTCTCGTCCACCGCGCTGGGCTTCGCGGGGCCCTTCGCCGTCATGCTGACCTGCTACTTCTGCATCGGCCGCACGGTGGCCGGCCACTTCGGCAAGGAGCGCGCGCGGGGCCTGCGCAAGCGCCGGCGGCTGCTGGCCATCATCGCCGTGCTGGTGCTGACCTTCGCGCTGTGCTGGCTGCCCTACCACCTGGTCAAGACGCTCTACGTGCTGGGCAGCCTGCTGCGCTGGCCCTGCGCCTTCGACCTCTTCCTCATGAACGTCTTCCCCTACTGCACCTGCATCAGCTACGTCAACAGCTGCCTCAACCCCTTCCTCTACGCCTTCTTCGACCCCCGCTTCCGCCAGGCCTGCGCCTCGGTGCTCTGCTGGGGCCGCCGGGGCTGCGGCGGCGGCTGGCGCGCGGGCGGCGGCGGCGGCGGCGGCAGCGGCCGGGGCGGCGGCGGCGGGGACAAGTCGGCCAGCTCCTCCTCCTCGGCGTCGTCGGGGCAGAGCCAGGGCCCCGGGCCGGGCGGCGCGGGGAAGGGCGGGGAGCCGACGCCGGAGAAGTCCATCCCCTACAGCCAGGAGACCCTCGTGGTGGACTAGGGCCGGGGTGCCCCCGCCCGGGCCCGGGGCCCCTTGCTGTCGAGGGGGCGGGAGCCCCTTCTCTCGTGCACTCCACTCCTCTCTCCTCCCCGCGTCGGTCTTGTCCTGCTTTCCCCGGGGGAAGTGCTTCTTCAGAGGTTTGTGGTTTTAGAGGGAAACAGATGGAAGCCCGCAGCCCCCGCGCTCCGCCACTCAGTCTCCGCGAGACTGACCTTGCCCGGCTCTGAAATCCTCCCAGCCTCAGTTTCTCTCCATGCGGATAAAACGGAGAAACTGAAATGATGTGCGCCCCGGCTCCATCAAAGTTCATTCCATCCCCCCCTCCCCGCCACTTGAAACTGAACTGTTGTGCGTCCCGGCTCCATCAAAGTTCATTTCCCCCCAGCGTCTTCCTGGATCTCCAGCTTCCCCCACCGTTTCCTTTTGGTTTTCGCCCCTTTTCCCCCTTTTCCTCCTTCTGTTCTCCTCCCCGCCCCCACCAAGTGCAATTTCCCCTCTGAATCCTTACCTTTTGGCTACCCCCCCCCCCCACGGCTCCTCCCTCTGTCCCTCTCTTTTTACCTCCTTGTTCTGAAGGGGCCCTAAGGGTTAAGGCGTCTGAAGCTTGCAGACACACTGCCCGGTTCAAGCTCTTTGTCCCTGAGGCCCCCGGGAGGGAATGGACCTGGCTGAGAATGGCTGGATGTCAGCAAAGTTGAGGCTCCTGACTCTGCAGCTGTGAGCTCCAGAGCTTTCACTCCAACTTGGATGGGTTCACGAGTATTTCAGGCCCTGGAGGTCGAGCGATGCGTGAAGGGGGGCGTCCCTTCTTGCAGCCCACCGACTAGACACGCTTTCTACACGTGTCCTTAGCCCCTTTTATTCATCCTCTCTTTTCCGCAGGGACGGGAAAGCAGTGGGGTTGGTGCAGCAGCGGCCTTCTTGGTTTCACGGTATGAGCGGGGAGTTGGGAAGGGGAAAGGAGAAAGATGGGGCATCTGCGTTTGGTCTAAAGGCTGCTTCGGCCCCCTCCCCAAATCCTCATCTCTCCAACCTCCTCCAGACCTGTGAGCAGCCAACCTCTCCCTGTCTCTCCATCTGACATCCCCAGGACATTCTTCTTGGGCTCTGGCCTGAGTGGCTGCCAAGGGTCCCTTTGATGGGGGGGGGGGGGGAACACCTGCTTTGTGTGTGTGCACGTGTGTAAACAAGGATGGGCGTAACCTGAAGAGCTGGGTGCCTGGGTCACTTGTCCCTTGGATGAACACCCCCTGCTCTGCGCATCTCTGCTCTTCACACAATATCCTTGAGGGAAGAAGGGACATCGGAGGCAATTTAGAATGAGTCCACCCCCACTGGTTTGGGGGGCTCTGACGGCTGGTCCGCGCATTAAGAGAGAAGTGTGAGTGTGCACCCAGGCTCCCTGTAGGGAATCCCTCCTCAAGGCAGCTGGCGTGCAAAGCTTAAAGAAGTCCTGGACCCTGGGTCCCTCTGCCGCAGTCCCTGGTTCCAACGGGGAGATGGGAGAGAGCTTCAGAGGTTCCCTTGACTCCTTTCCCACGCCTGCCAACCTCGTTTTGAATTTATAAGCATTTTCTTCAGCACCCTTTGTTTTTCCAGGGTCAGTGGCCCTCTTCCTGGTGGGGGTGGGGGGCGGTGGCTGCCTGGGGTGGAAAGCCCTGGGTGGGTTTTTCCTGACCTCCCCATCAGGGTGGGACCCCCGTGGCTCCTCCTGCTGGGTTGGGGGGCTGGGGCTGGGTGCTGGAGCAGACAGGACAGCCGCAGTGCCAGAGGATGGAGACCTCGAGGATGGAGATGCTGGTGGGGCCTTTGTGGACTCAGGGCGCGGTGTGTGTATTCCGGGTTTTGTTCTTGGACGACGCAGAACATAAAGGACAAGACAGGAGCCGCGGGGGCAGGAAGAAGCCAGCTTGATGTCAGTGGATGTGCTGACCTTGGCTGGAATGGAGCCAACTCCAGAGGCAGAGTGCGGGGTGGATGGAATGGGCTTCTCTCAGCTCACTCCTTCCATCTCCAGCCAGGGTCTTCACAGACTCATGTTCTCAGCCCAGGGCTGTCCCCAGAGCATCCAGGCGAGGCTGGAGGAAGCTTCCAGAAGGGAGGAGGGGCCTCCTTTGAGGCCCCATCGGTGGTCCTGGACAGATGGTGGAGGAGGCAGCTGCTGCTCTGCGCGCCCCTTCTTTGGAATGTCTGTGCTATTTTTTGACCCTGTTAGTCACTGCGGCTCATGAAAAATAAATCTTTCCGTGTGTGTGTGTGTAACTACTGTGTCTGAAGCTTTTTCTCACACAGGTGCCTTGGGATGAGGAAAGGACCCCCAGGTTGCAAATGTTATGCTGGGAGGTGGGCTGAGGAGGCTGAGGGGAGCCGTGGGAAGAAAGGGGACAGAAAGGAGTCGAATGGGAAACCGGGGGGCATGGGGGAGGTCAGGGAAGACCAAGAGGGCAGAGAGGCGGGAGCAGCTGCGCCTCTGGGCCTGGGAAGCGTGGAACACGTGGGCACACGTGCTGGAGTCCAGAGCACAGGTCTGGGGGACATGCCAACCCTTCTTCCCACAGAGGTGGACTGCAATTCATCCATTCATCTGTCCCTCTGTTCATTTACTGTCGCTACTGACTCACGGACTCAATGGACATGAGTCTGAGTAAACTCTGGGAGTTGGTGATGGACAGGGAGGCCTGGCGTGCTGCAGTCCATGGGGTCCCAAAGAGTCGGACACGACTGAGCGACTGAACTGAACTGATTGACTCATTCATTCGTCTGTCCCTGTGTTCGTTTACCCACAGAGGTGGACTGTAATTCATCCATGCATCTATCCCTGTATTCATTTACCATCGCTATTGACTCATTCATTCATCCATAGTCCCATGAGCATTCATTCAGCTTAGACCAGCAGTTCAAATGCCTGTCCTCCACGCAGAGTCAACCTGTCTTGTTCTGTAAATACCCATCCCGGAGGGTCATCCCGGACCGATGGGCTCAGAAGCTCCTGGAATCATCCCAAGTGGTCACGGTAATGAAAAGCCCCTCAGATGATTTCTGAGCGCAGCCAGGTTTTGGAAATTGTCCATCTGGACGGCTTCTGCCCACACTAAAAAGGACACAAAGCTAGAGAGAGCCAGGGGGAAGCGAGCTCTGGGCGGTCATTGATTTGGGAGGAAGGAGCTGAAAGGATCCCTGGGGGATGTATTTCCTCCAGAGTGGGTCACCATCTTCCACAAAGACCTCCGGGTACCAATACTGTCAGCGATGGCCCTGATGCCGTCACCACAGCAGCCTGAGTGGGGCGCTTCCCTGCCGTTCTCTCCTGGGACCCTGCAGCCCTCTGCCAGCCACCTGGCCCCTCACTTTGCTGACCACAGAGCCAAGACGCCCAAAGTTCAAGTGAGGCAGGTCCAGGGGGCTGGGGTGGACGTGAGATCCCATCCTAAGGCACTGACCCCCCTGGAGAGCCCTCGATGAAGGAGTTGGGAGGGGAGTGGAGGGAAATGCACGAGAGACAGAGGGAGAGGGAGACAGAGAGAGAGAGAGATAGAGATACACAGAGAGATACAGAGAGAGAGAGAGAGAGAGATAGAGACACAGAGAGATACAGAGAGAGAGACACACACACAGAGACACAGAGAGACAGAGAGAGATGGCGAAAGAGCAGGGACTGGGAGGAGGCAGCCGGGAGGAGAACTGGGGGCTGGGAGGGGGCTGGAGGAGGGGGTCTGTGCTTGTCTGCCCTCTTCTGAAACTCACCAGGGAAAATCCGCAGGAATTTACAGCGGTAACCACAGGCTGCTGGCGTTATTATTTTATCATTTTGCAGATGCTATCACAGAACCTTACCCCCTCTCCGGGAAACTTGAGATGAGCTTTCCAGAATGATAGGATGGTACAGTGCTCGGTGGTTTTGTTTGTTCACACATGCCTTCGTCCATTCGCTCATGCATCTGCTTACTCCACGAGCCTTGATTCATTACTGATGCCCCAGGCAGCGGGCTGGGTATGGGGGTAGGGGGGCAAACAGGCCGCCGGGGGCTCCTGGCGGTGCAGACAGACAGTTACATGAGCAGGTAGAGTGGAGTTATGGGAGGGGGAATGTGCAAAGTGTTCTGAGGGACTGGCAGGGACAGTGAGTGAGGACTGGAGACAGGCTGCATGCCAGGAGCCTGCTCTCTGAAGGGCAGAGCGGGGAGCATTTTCTATGCAGAGGAAAACCCAGAGATAAGAGCTACCTCTGGGGACGGTGCAGCCCACGCCCCCAGCAACCAGAAAGGGCTCTCAGCCTGGTTGGCGCCCAACCCCACCCCAGCTCTGGCAGGGGACCCAGAGACAGAGGAAAACTTGCCCAGATCTCTGCGTGTGTCTGAGGAGCAGGTTGGGGGCTGGGACTAAGATCCAGGTCTCTAGACCACTTTGTAGGGTCCATAGATTTTTCTGCTTTTGGTGACTTCTCGCTTCTCCCCTCCCTGGGCCTGAGCTGTCTTCTTCTAAGAGATCTGCTGGGGTCTCCTCAACAGGGGCTGGGAGTGCCGGGCCTTTCAACTCTGGGCTTGTTGGAGAAAGAGGCTGGGAAGGGGTTGCCGGATCCCTTGGAGAGGCCAGCCCTAGAAGCTGGGTGACGCCGCGCGACAGGATTTGGATGCAATGTCCTCACCATCTCAGCTGGTACCGCTGTGTCTGAGCTCCAGGGAGTTCAAAGCCTGAGGGTCCTGACCTCTTTCAGTTGCTGCTCAAATGCATATAAAGTGACAATGAACAATTGGAGAAAGATACCAAAGGAGATTAAAGTCAAGTCCAAAAGGAAACAGATTTGGAGATGTTGAGCTGACTTTAGAAGTTTGCGTTAATAGAATATCAAGCAATATTTATTGAGTTATTTATTCAGCAAAGTTTTATTCAGTGTCTGCCATGTGCCTGGGGCTGTCTTAGAAGCTGGGGATACTGAGGTGAATGAGATGCCATCCTTGTCATCACAGGGAAACTCGAAAGACCTTTCTCATCTTACCTGCCCATTGAACAGATGGGTAAACCAAGGCCCACGGAGGGCAAAGGGTTTACACAAAGTCATGCAGTGGGATGATGGCAAAGGAACCCAGGCTTCTCACTGCCAGGCAAAGAGCACATTCCGTGGCTCCAGGCTTAGCAAAGAGAGGTGTTTTTTGGAGATGGTGAGAGGAAGTAGAGAGTGTCAGAGCAGTGAAGAAGGGCTACTGGGCAGGCTGGGGGCACAAAGGTACTTGAGGATCATTATCCAGATTTTTGTTAACTTTTTATTTTACAAGAGTTTTAGATTTACAGAAAAGTCATTCGTCTAGTACAGACTGTTCCTGTATATTCCACATCCAGTGTCCTGTATTATTAGCAACTTATATTAACGCAACACACTTGTCACAGTTCATGAACCAATATTAGCACAATAATGATTAATTAGGTCCACACGTTATTTAGACTCCCTTACCTTTTACCTACTGTCCTAGGATACCATCCAGGACACCTCATTGCGATGTACAAGTCTTGGTTTGGAGGATAATTGCTTTGCAATGTGGTGCTGGCTTTTGCTGTGTGACAGTGAATCAGCTATATGTGCACATGTGTCCCCTCCCTCCGGGGCCTCCCTCCCCAGCCCTCTCGGCGATCACAGGGCCCGAGCTGGGCCCGAGTCACGCAGCGGCTCCCACCGGCTCTGTTTTGCAGATGGTGGTGTGTGTGGCGATGCTGCCCCCTCGGTTTATCCCACCCTCTCCTTCCCCCACTGTATCCACCTGTCCATTCTCTATGTCTGTGCCTCTCTTCCTGCCATCCAAATAGGTTCATCAGTATTATTTTTCTAGATTGCACATGTATGCGTTCATATATGATATTTGCTTTTCTCTTCCTGACTTACTTCACTTTGTCTGATAGACTCTAGGTTCATTCACCTTGCTACGACTGACTCGATTCCATTCCTTTTTTATGGCTGAGTGATATTCCGTTGCATCGATCCAGCACAATTCTTTATCCACCCATCTGTTGATGGACGTCCAGGTTTCTTCTGTGTCTTGGCTACTGTAAATAGAGCTACACCTCGCTGCATTTCGTCTTTATGTCTCTTGAAGCTCCTCTTGGCTGTGATGGTTTCTCAGGCTTTGTGTTCGAGGATCCTGACAGTTTTGAGGAGTACGGGTCTGGTGCGTTGTTCCATGTGCTTTTTAAAACAAATCTACTTTTATTTCCATATACCAGGCACATGCTAAAAGATAAGGGTAGAGCAATAAAAAACGTACAGGTGATTCCAGCTGTTTTGGAGCTTAGCAGTGAGTAAGAAAGTGTGGTGAGTGTCATTGCAGGGAAGGTACAGGATGCCATGTGGGCAAACGCCGGTCCTCCAGCGTGTACCGTGCAGACAGCACAGAGAGGGCTCGTTCTCTGGCTCAAAGCGCATGTCCACCTCCAGTGCCACCGGGGTCTCCATGTCTGCCGGTCCATCCCAGCTCCAAGCTCACCCAGAACCCATTTTCTTATTCAGCTGGAAACCCAGAAGCACCCGGCAAAGGCGTATTTGTGTCCAACAGGCATCTTACCCCGTGTTGCTCTCTACTTTCTTATTTAGCTATGTGGCACATCTCTTGCCTCCTTGAGGCTGCTTCCTTCATGGACAGAGGATAATCAGAAGTGGCTCCCCCAAATCTGCTTGAGCCACCTGACTCAGCCAGCCCCCTGCTCCCCCACTGGATGCCTGCTGAGTGCTGGAGGCTTGCTTTTAGGAGAGCCCTGATCCGGCCCTACTGTGACAGCTCTGTCTCCTCTGCTCTGTGGGCACCTCCCCCGCCACAGGGGCTGCTTTTACACATCTTTGTGTTCCCAGGACTTGCAACATGGCAAGTGCTCAAAGGGTGTTTGCTTAAATGATTAAACAGCTGGATAAAGAAAGTGCAGGAGCAAACTGAGGAAAACGGATTTTTTTTGCTTAAAGCAAATGCATCGCTTGCCTTTTAAAGAGCCCAGAAAGGTGAAGCAAAGGCCGGTGCCAGAGGAGATGCCCAGGGACTGATGAGAACTGAGATCACTAGCTAGTGACTCAGTTAAACCAACTGGGTCCTCTTCAAGCCGCTGCTTAGGAGCCACGGAGCCAGAATACAGGGCTGGGTGGGCCAGGTCCCGGGGGCCACTTCTGATAACCTTGTCAGTAGAGTTGCTGAGATTAGAGCTTTGCAGGGACCCACATCAGTGTCTGTGTTGGAAGCTATGCCTTTGAGTCGCC